GTCAGTTTTCCTCGGCGAGCGCTGGATTACTGGCGAGCGGGAAGGCGTCGGGGATGGCGGCGGTGGCTGGCGACGAAACTGCGGAGACGTTGGGTCCTGGTGTTGGCGAGGAGCGGCGACAGGTCGTCGTGCAGTAGCGGCGTAGGTCATCGCCTCCGGTTGGGGCTGTGGCCGTTCAGGAACGCTCAGTGAGCGCTGTAGTTCCTCGCGGACTACGTCTTCGAGAGAGGCGACTTGGGGCTGAGACGATGGCAACATGCGGCGCAGTTCTTCACGAATAATAGCGCGTATGGTCTCGCGCAGGTCGTCGGGGCAGAGTCCTCGGACTTCTGCGACGTCTGGCGACATGCGCCGATCGTATTGGCTGGTCCGCATTTCAAGAGTCTTCTCGATGGTGGTAGCCTCGGAGAGGAACTCTTGTACCGTCTTTGGCGGGGTTCTGATCAGTCCGGCGAAGAGCTCCTGCTTCACTCCTCGCATAAGCAGGCGAACCTTCTTGTCCTCAGACATGTCGGCGTCGGCGTGGCGGAAAAGTCGCGTCATCTCCTCCGTGAAGATCGTTACGTTTTCGTTGGGGAGCTGCACCCGAGTTTCAAGCAGTGATGCGGCTCTTTCCTTCCGCACGACGCTTGCAAAGGTGCGCAGGAAAGCAACGCGGAAGTCGTCCCAGGTTCGAAGCGTTGACTCGCGGTTCTCGAACCAAGTCTTTGCGGCGTCTTCCAGGTAAAAATACACATGACGCAGCTTGTCGTCCGGGTCCCACTTATTGAGGGCTGCGACGCGGTCGTAAATGTCAAGCCAGCTTTCCGGGTCTTCGTAGGTCGATCCGCGGAAGGTAGGCGGCTCTTTGGGCTGGTTGACGACCACGGTTGCCGAAGACCTTGCTTCCGTCATCGTGGATGCCGGCTTCGTAGCAGCCTTTGTTTTCTTGTCCTTGTCGGGGAGCGGCAGGTATTCGGGCGGTAGTCCTTGTTGTCTTCGGCTCACTCGAACGACCGGGTCGGCGTCGTCCTCTTGGCGGCTTGGGCTTGGCTCACGGCTGGACGGGGGCGTACGGTACATGGACAGAGAAGCACCTCCACCAGATGTCACGAGGTTGTGATACACGCAGCACTTGAGAGGAAGCACGCAGGAGTCAGGGCGGTGTCAGGCAAACTGTTTATTGGGCGAACTTGTGCCCAGCAAAACAGGGCCAAACACAACTCACAGCAACAGCGGCGTGAACAGTCGTCGGCCGACGGAAAAAAAAAAAGACCCCCAGTGGCGCACTGCGCCGGCTTTTTATACACGCGTCGTAACGCGTTCCAAAGTGGCATACAAGATAAACGCGGCCTGCGTTGCGCTTAACAGAAAGTGATAGCGTCTTCCTTCGCAAACGAAAAGAACCGCACGTGTCAGTTTTTTATACACGCGTCGTAACGCGTTCCAGAGTGGCATACAAGATAAACGCTGCCTGCGTTGCGCTTAACAGAAAGTGATAGCGTCTTCCTTCGTAAACCAAAAGAACCGCACGTGTCAATATTGACAGCACCATAGACTTTTGACTCTGCAACTGCACTATATGCTTTGCTGTCACCGTCACTAAAGAATGTCATGAAATGCAGTGGGGTGTCATAAGTCAATGTTCTCTGCCAAATGCGCATTGCAGCCTCCATTTCCATAGCATGGGAGGAACAGTCTGCATTTTTTTCACAGACTGGGCCATGGAATGCCTGCCACACTTCCTCGTCTGGGCCCATATCCTTGTGCCTACTGCATGTCAGGCAGCAATTTGATATGACCTCGAAGTCTAAGCAGAGGCCAGTATCTAAGGAGATAACTGCGCCAATCCCGTTGTGGCTTTTGTGGCCCCTCTTCTGCCAAGTGCCGTCGAACATAACAGCCACATCAGTTTCGCCTGCTACTTCTTTCGTCAACTCTCTGGATCGGCGCAAGTTTTCACTCACAGCTGCCATGGCAGCGGTGTGCACCTTCTTTGCTATCGAAAAAAATTCTCGGTGGTGCATTGGCTTTGGGAGTCCAATAATGGAGCAAAATCTCGACAATTGCTCATGCCCAATGCCGACAGCGCGTGCAGCCACCACCGCCTTCACATTTACAGCGAAACTATCTCGGGAGCTCCCACTGTCGTACCGTTGGCTCACTCGGCTGCTGCCGTCCGCCGTAACACGCAGTGACGTATAGGAGCACGAAAGAACAGTCGCTGAGCATTCGCTGTTTTCGCAATGAAGTTCGAGGAGCGACGAAAGTCCCTTGCGCTTTTCTGCCGGCTCCCGAACGGCAAGTTTTTGAATACCGCAAGCAGGGCATGCCGCACCTGCCACAAGTGCCGTCAGCAAGAGGGTGTCGCACAAAACTGTCGTTGCACAAACCTCATCGCGCTGTCTTTCGTCTTTTTCGAAGAAGCCGAGCTTCTTTTCCGAAGCACTGACGAAAGAAAGCGCAGCGTCAATCCCTTCATCGCAGCCACTGTCGCTCGCGCACTCGTCGATGCCGCCGTCAGGCCTAGCACACGTAGGCGCGTTCTCGTTCGGGGCGCTTTACGCCGCCTTCTCTTGAACTTGTGCTTCGTTCGAATCGTCTGCGGTCTCACGTTACACTTTTTCGGGCTTGTCATCGTGGAAATATGCGTAGACGCGCAGAAAAGCAGACGGACCAAATGCCGATGGCCGCCACCAACACAGCTGACAATGACTCGGTAGCCAATGGCGATGCGGCTTAGGGTGCCGCGCGTTTCAAACCGCTCAAACCACGTGATAAAAAGGCCTCGTTTTTTATTTTTATTTTTTCCCCCACATACGAAACTGGCGGTCGTCGGAGCTGTAAGAAGAAGGCCGGATGCAACTTTCCCAACCGATCGCGATGGCGGGCGGCACTGCGACGGGGAGAAGCGCGCAGTCAAAGATGGCCAATGTTGGCGCAAATTCACGAAATTTTGAGCCACCGCGATGCCTTCATACACATTTTTTTGCATTTTGCGGTTCGAATTTAGTTTTGAAATTTTCACAGATGAAAGAAGAAGGTTTGAAGATTACAATGCAATAAAAATCAGAAATACGGGAAATTTCGCTAAAAACGCGATTTTTCGACTCGCATCTCCCCTTAAGAGCAGATTGGGCAATGGTTGCTCAGTGGTGAATCGTAAATTTGTGCTCAAGGAGAAGCGGTAGTGCTTTTTGACCAGGTAATAATTTTGGAACTAATTGTGCAGCTGCCTAAATTTTATGAAAGTTTGGATCATACTTCCACTTGAGTCCTGATGCTTTAATAGCTGTTTCTTCCCGAGTTAGTTTTCTTACTGTAAAAAGGTGTAAATGAATACACAAAACCGAATACAAAAGCCTGGTAGCAAAGCCGCTGTGAAGTTTCCACGCTATCTTGCAATGTTGTCATATATTTTCAGGCTGCATATTAGGTTGCATTTGCTTGTACAGAAAGACAATTTTGCACTGTAAAACCATTCAGCCTAGCAAGATTTCCGGAGTGCTTCTCCAAAAGGGGGAAAACACATGGGGGAAAAATCGATTTCATGTCGTCACACTGATGTGAACAAAAAAAGATTGACCATTATTTTTGCCTTATAGATCAATCATTTCAATTTACTGAATAAAAATGTAGTTCCCAAAAAACACTAAATGTTATTTGTTAAGCGCTAAAGTAATCTTCTGTGATTCAGAGCTGTGGCCCCTACACTGGCATAACCTCTATGCAAGTGAAATAAGTCGTTGGCTAAAATTTTTGTAACTTGGAAAGTACATGTTGAAGCTCCAGGTAATTTATAGTTTTTGTGAGAAACGTTTCTCACACTTCGTTCTGGTGCCGAAACCCGCCCGGTCGCCTGGCCGTCGACTTTTGACAATGGACCAACTCTGAGTACAGCGTGGCATCTACCGGACAGCCATCACCAAGGCAATGTCGACTCTCGACACCCTGCTGGCAGACTCGATGACGCCTGCTCACAGGCTCCAGGAGTTCATCGGCACCATTGTGGCAAAACACGCCCACCTCACCACCTTTGTCAAGGAGGTTCAAGCTGCACTACATGGTGAGGACCTCGAGGCAGACTTGACCAACGCCAGCGAATACGAAGATCAGGTTATCTGCACTAAAGAAAGGGTTCGACGCACAATTGAGCCGCAGTCACCAACCCCACCCTCATACGTCGACTTCACCACCGCTCCACTGCCCCCTCGGAATCTGCGACCTTGCCTTCGCCCGGCCTTCCGACTCCCAGGACACTGTCTCGCCTCGCACTGCTCAAGCAGCACATCCCGGGTTTCGGCACCAGAACAAAGTGTGAGAAACGAAGGGGACCCGGACTCGATCGTCTGGCTACATCGAAGGTGAACGAAACAACTCAGCGAGCCAGAGCTCCTGGTTCGTGCTCATGCCCGCCGCCCCTTCTTTCTCCTTTATTTGCAACAGTTTTACCAAAGTGGCTTATGGCTAAATGAGCAACACTGCAAGGAGCGATTCCCACATTTAAGGAAGCCAGAATGCTGACACACAAGCTGTAAAAACTTCAGTGTCAGTGATGTCCAAAGTACACTCGATGGTAACGCGGTGCAGACTTAAGTATACAACTTTGCTTACGGAAAAATGTAAAAAGTCACTGCTGTGTTGCGAGTGTTGTGTGCAAGCATGGTTTGAGCATGCTTAACATTAACAAAACCACCACAGCTGCTTATCACCTAAAGGGGTCGCGCTGCTAAACTGCGATTCCCGGCCACAGCTGGCACACTTCAATGTGGGTGAAATGCAAAGGACACCCGGTTCCTAAAATTTAGATGCACATTAAAAAACCATACCTGGTTGAAGTGAATCTTTATGGCATTGTTATTAGAAGGTCTTAAGGCATGCCTCATAATTATATTAGTTTTGGCACGTAAAATCCTAGCAGTCACTATTATTAGCATTGAGTAAGGACCAAACAGGATTTGCAGCAGTTACGATACATGTTGATAGTGATTCGAGAATGGCCACATCTGTTCTTTACTTAGGTGGGCTTGCTTCTGGATATCTGAAGAGGGAAAAGCTCAGCTGGCTGTGCTGCGACTAAGGGACTGTCATCTCTTCTATCTCCCCGTGCTTACAACTGTGGGCCCTGCCAGACTGCACCTTGAGGTGAAATGTTTGCAATTGACTCTGGTTCGACGGAGAAGACTCAATTTTCGACCTCGTTTGATGGAACATTTACCGGTGCCTAAAACTCGTGCTTTGGAAGGGACACCCGCTACCAATCATTATGAAGGTAGGATTCAGAGTGCAGTGAACATTTGCACTTCTGATGAGCTTAGTCACAGTCACCGGTGCCTACAGCCACCTGAGCTGATATTTTCCTTTCAAAGAAGCATCATGCTACTTAGGGAAGGTTGCGGCACTCACCAACTCATAGGCAGAGCGCAACTAAGATTTCTTGCTCTTTCAGAAGGCTGCCAATGATTTCAAAGAGGTTCTGCGATTCTAGACAGAGATAAATTTTAGAAACTTAGAGGTTGAAAGGAGAACCTGTAGAAGCTCGCTTCTAGCACAGCGGGTATGTGCCTTCTTGAAATGCACCCGCCAGTCTCCTGCGACAACGGGCTGTTGCTTATGGTGCATTCAGACGACGGATTGAATCCCGATGTGGCGGGACGGACGGCGCGTCACGTGACCTCACATCAGCGAGCCGCGCGGACGGATGAACCCAACCTGTTTCTCACATCGGTATTCTGGCGGGGGAGAGCCGGTACTTCAGCGGAATAGCTTGGGGGTCGGTGGCAACCAGTACACTTTTCGTCTGCTCGCGGCATGTCCTCCATGGCTCGCGGACAGCTGCATGACCAGTCGGCATTATCTACGCTTGAGCATGGTTTACTTAGTTTTCGGGTGCTCTGTTCTCAGGTGATTAAATATGCAGAAATCACTTTTGGTGGTTCGGGAAATGTCGCCGCCGTCGCTTAACACGCGAGATTCTTAGCCATCATGGTGGTGAAATATTCCAACTTCTGCAACCGGCGACGTGCCGCTTCTGAAAAAAGGCGGGAGACACGTTTAGAAGTTCTACAAGTGGGGAATAATGTAGTTGAAAGAATATCCTGCTAGCAACTCCCTTTTCTCCTGAAAGAATAACACTGCTCATTCATTTGTCACAACACGACAGACATCGCAGCCAAGCTTCGCTTCTTGCGGGCATCCATGTTGAATACTCTCAAACCGGTCTGCTGCCAGCGGGCGCAGGTGAGCGCCGAATCTGCTGTCGAGGGTAATCCGGCTGTTTTCCCCTAGGACACCGTCCGTCGTGTGGATGCACCTGCAGGCGGACCATCCGCGGATTAGCTGTCCGCGTCCACGACAAATCCGGATTCGGTCCGTCGTCTGAATGCACCATTAAAGGGGGCGTGTGTCAGGCAGTTGCATTGACTGAACATCGCAAACACATATGTGGACCTGATGAGACATCGTACAAAGGAAACTTTTCTGCCATTCACCTTCTGCCGCTAAATAAGGTGCCATTTCTTTTTGTTGTTGTTGAAGTGACAGTGCTGCATCTTGAGTACGTTGGCACTGCATTTGTGTCATTTTTTGTTATTATCATTGCTCAAGTTTTTCTCGTGTCGTCTGTTAAGTAATGCAGTTGCCTTTTTATAGGGGTGGCATATGAGCCACTTTTATTTTACTGCTGTTCTTAAAGATATGTCTGCTCAAAACTTTTTTCTCGTTTACTTTGGCGGTGAGATTTTTAGTTTTAGATACAGCGGACCAAGCATGAGCTCACCATTATCAATTGTATGTGTCCTAATGATGGCGGTGAGATGTTTTGTTTTAGATACAGCGGACCAAGCATGAGCTCACCGTTATCAATTTTATGTGTCCTAATGATGTACTGGTAGCATTGCTCAGCTTACCACTTATTATTGGTCTTTAGCATGGCCAGCACGTCCTATATTTTTTCAGTGCTCGGGCGAAGGCGTGGATTTCATTGGAGGCGGCCATCGGTGCTAGTGCGGCGTTTCGCCGCCAGATGCCGCAACAGGAGTAGAGATGCTGCCGCGTCGTATCTCGCGCAAACGAATGCCGGGGCTGCATTCAAAGCTGCTATACGGCTCAGTTTTTGGCTGTATTCGCATTGTTAAGATGTAATCGAAACTTGGAAACGAGAACCGTGAAGCACTCTTTGTTTTGGCCACCTAGTTCATTTCAAAGGCTTGAGTCGTTCGCGACTACTTGATCAAGGCGCTCGCGGGTCGTATGCTAGGCCAATACCAGACAGCTCATGCTAGCAATCCGCAGATCATTTTGTCTCTGCAGCGTTTGCTTGACTGATAGTTGCTTTTTTGACTAACTGAAAGTCGATTTTTGAGAGAAGCCTTTGCTAGAAGCCAATCTTGATAGCTCGAGTGCGTAATGTTCCCCGATGCTTGCTACTCTCTAGTGGAGTAACACATCATGCGCAAGCCTGGAGTTCATGCACTGAATAGCACAAAATATCACTAGACTGCTTCCAGGGATATAGGTCATCATCTGTTTCCTTCACAAAGCATGAGGTGTGTTGCCACCCAGAAAAAGCAAGTGTCAGAAAATGAGGAACTATGGCAGGTGATTTCACCATTTGAGAGCTTAAAGAATGAAATCATTGTGAAATAAAAAAGAACAGCTTTGTTTGCGGCGCGATTTCTGTGATCATGGCCTATGCTTTGAACAGGTGCTGTTAAAGTCTGAAGTCTAATGCCGACTCTCAACTTGAACCAACGTGAGAAGCATGAAAAATGCGGCCTGTAGTCAGTTGCTTGAGCTTGTCTGTGTATTCGTGGACGGATTGTTGTAGTATTAATATCTGGCTTTATTTCTTGCCTCTGGCTTCTTAATTTGGTAGCGAGCAGAGTAGAAGCCAAATGGCTGTGTGGTGCCTATGGGCTATTCGCATTCGAGTCGTAATGCTAGCGTTGCACTTGCAGTGATCACGAGGAAGTGTTGTTACTGATAGACTCATTTGTTGACTGTTTAGTCAACTCCCCCCGTTTAGTGATTCCCGTTTAGTGATTCCAATTGCCATGTTGCCAAACGTGACAGGTAGTCTTCAGTTGCCACTACTTATAATCTATAAAATATTCGGTTTGTTAATGACGTCTACGTATTAGAGTGTAGTACGAATATTTATTAGGAGACCAATTGCTCTGCCTGATTACTGCAAGCACGCTCCCCCGAGCACGAGTGCATTAAGGCGATAGCTTTAAATGCCTCATGAAAAGTGAAAATTGATCGCCGGCGACGTCCGGCGTATTTTCGCGTCGGCGGCGTGAGCACAAGTGGTACAAGAAATCATAATTACGTGAGAACGTCATCATATGATGTCACATATCATAAATGTTTGGGACGTGTGGGAAGGTCACATAACTTGACCGCATCATATAACATCTTCGCTTGGTTGAAATGGGCCGATCATGAGGGCAGTGCATAACCAGGTGAGGGGCCGAAAGCTAGCTTTGTCTCCAATCCTTGAGGCAGTAATAAAACCATGTTGAGCATAGAAATATCCCAAAGGGAAGTAGGAAACATTCAGTGCATTGAATCGAAAGAAAACGAGGATAGTTTTTGCATTTCAGTCGTCTCAAATTTCCATGGAAACCTTGGTGGAGTCCGTTGAAAAACTTGGTTACCTTACCTCCAGATTCCGGTGCCGTGTTCCACCATTAAATTTTTATTTACACAGAGCTGGTCTGACATTCTCCCCTTTTTGTCCATTCTGCGAAGAATCGGAAACTGTTGAATATTATTTTGTCTCATGTCATAACTATGCAGTAATTAGGAAATTACTTTTAGCTATTTTGTTTGCGAAGCTAGGTTTAACCATAGAAACTGTTCTAAATTTTGGTGCCTCCACTTTGGGAAATCGCCACGGAGATTTATTTGATGCGGGGTGTGATTTCATTAAAGACACTAAACGTATTTTAACATAAGGCCCACTTGAACAGATACTCAAAAAAAAAAAGAGCGACGAAGTAATTTTCAAAATTTGAATAAATATGAGACATACCGTATTTACTCGATTCGACCGCGCTGTCGATTGTAACCCGCACCCGGTTTCCACGACGAAAAAAAAAAAATGTAAGACATCAATTGCAACGCACAACCGTTTTTCTCGTTGGCCCGCACGATCACACCATTCGGGAAAACGACTCCTTTCGGGAGCGTCTTTCATTTAAATATGAGGTACGGGGGAAGCTTCTGCCTATCTGACGTGCAACGGAGCATTGCCGTCACTAGAGTGTACTAGAATAGTCTGAGTGGGATGAACGGAGCGCTCTTTTTGAGGCGGTGTTCGTTGATTGAATAGGGGGCGCTGCGGGCGAGGTGGATTGGTCACGATCAAGCATGCCAATGCGCATCGGCCACGCGTTCTCACATTTCGCCCTATTTTTTACTATTTACAGGATCTACATACAGACACGAGGGTAGAAGAAAAGTAAAAATGAATTCGAATTATCTTACAAGGCTTTCCAACGAATGCGTGCTGTGTATTTTCTGTGTTTCCTTTAGAATACGGACAGCGATGCGTCAATGATACCAACTGGCTGATTGGGTCACATTTCTATAAGAAATGGATCACCTTCGTGTCGTGGCAGCCACTGCAGTTCGGAAGTGAAGGCAGTGTCAATGCGCTACAACTTGTTCAATGTGAATTTGCAGTGGCCGTCGTCAACCGGTCTGAACGTCCGATAGTGATCGCTGCCGTTGACGTACTTTTGCACTTTTCGTACACCCCTCAAATCTGTCGTAATGCTTCAGTATCCTTTTTCATTATCGCAATTACAATATTTTGAGCATGCTGTGACCACTCGCAAAATTACTGAGATATGCTGAGACTGCACTACACAGAAATAAACTACCAGTGCTAACACTTTAAACAATTTAGTGCTTTTAACTAAGGTTTGAAAAAAAATATGTGGAGCTTAAATGTTATAATAAATGCTATGGTTAGGTTACCAAGGTAGAGACGAGCGGGGATTGAGAGTGAATACCTGAGAGAAGTGCTTAGACAGAATTGAAGGCTGAAAACAAGGGTGTCTAAGATTGCTTAACATGCATCATTAGTAGAAAATGAGTAAGGGTCCAGATTTGCAGCAGAAAGGTCCACTTTACTATAGATTGGCTCTGGGCAAAGTCTACAAAATTTTCGACCATTCGTGTCAACAGAACAAGCAACTGCAGGTGAATCTGTTTATTCACAACAGCCAAATGTTATGCTACTCAGAAATTGATGCTATGACTACTACTGTGATATCAGGCGCACCTGCACACTTTCAAAAGCTGTGCCATTTTTTGTCTTCCTTGTTTTGCCCTGTTTACACCCTTTATTAGGAACTGCAGACGAGTGACTCTGTAGAAGCGCACAATCTTTGCTTTCACTTCGGCTTCATGCGCAGCGCAGCCAATAATTTTGTCCTTGTTCATCACAAGTGACAGAACGTCCAAAATGCTGTCGGCATGCATGCAGGCGGTTCACGTGAAAGCAGCCCGTGAAGACGGTCTCTAGGTAGTTGACAAATTCAAACAGCTCTTTTGATGGATAGAGCAATCAACCTTGGTCGCAAACACTTGTAAGTGCAGACTGTGTGTGTATTTGCTCTGCCTTCTGACGCAGGAAGAATCGGGAGGGTGCGGCACGTATC